GGCTCTTATCATGATTGCCATAAAGTGCACTGATAGTGAATTACATTTTAATATTTTATGGAAGTGATCCAAAATGAAACATCCAGGCCAGAAAACACAATATACTGGTTATGGACAGGATTGCTTACGAATAAACACTTCATTTTAATTTTCTAAATGACTAGTGAGAATTTGCAAGATACATCAAAATGTTTTGCAGAAAGCTTCATTTTTCTGTTGCTAGTATTTTTCATTGAAAAATCAATGTGGCAGAAAATCCCCAGCCAATTCCATCGTATACTAGCCCTGCATGAGAAGTTGAACTTGGCCTGGGAAAAGGCAGCCCAAGGAAAATCAATGCACTGCTGGGCTTGGATACATCTCCCTCCCTCCAGCTCCACTTAGCGATAAGGAATCCCTGCTTCAAAGCCCTGTAACTCCTCCAGCCCCTGGTATTCAGATACAAATCTGTCAGTCTCACCCCACTCTGGTGCCCTCCAGGGCTGTGTCCTGCGAGAACCTGTCAGGGAACCATGTCTGCGTGCCAGTTTTCCCTCTTGTGCAGGTACTTATTGGTATCTGGAGTTTTGAAATCTTCAGGTTAAAAATGCTTACAGGTACAGTAGTGCATAATAATGATTTGTAAGTCAGGTAGAATGTTCCATTGCATACGTGGCTGAAGGCACATTATAAATCTTTGTTGTGATCACCATTTCTACTTTACATTTTCTTTTATTGAGAGGTGAAAGGTGCAAAAGAATTGGGTGCTTAAGTGACTGAATCTTTGAAATGGATTTTATACTGTGTCATTTCAGAGAGACCATAGACATCACAATTATAAATTGTCCCTTTCCATTACATATTTTCTTTCCCCTTAGTCAAAGGTAGACCTTGCTCTGTTGCTGTGGGTGTTTTACCATTTATTGGTACCCTAGATTTCTTGTTCTTGTACTCAGAAAAAGTGGCTATCTATAAAATTGTTTTATAAAGTTTGCTTGTTATACATGTATACATAAACATTTGTAGTCTTTGAGAAATTAGTAATTTTTCCTATTGTGAAGGAATGACTCTATGTTTCATAAAAGTCTAGAGTACCTAATTTATTTTCAAAGTGGATTAAAGACTTAATGGAGTAGTTTGAAAGAATAGCGTATATGTGAATGTTCTCTGGTTACTATAGTTGAAACATTCTCATTTCTTATGGACGTTATCTCTCACTGGTCCAAAGAGTTCTAAACCTGTGTCTCAATTAGCAAAGGTTGCAGACCCTCTAGGGAGTGACTTAGATTTATGAAAAAGGTCTTATATTGAGAACACCTCAGAAAGCTTTATATTAGTTCAGAGGCAGCTGTGATTCATAGCACAATAAAGATAAACTGACCTTTTAAAGGCAAATATGTCTTGCTGATTACTCTACAGAGCTAAATGAACAAAGGTCTAACTAAGATGTTATATAACCACTTTTTTTCTAAGCTTTGACTGAGCCCGTAAGAGGTTATTTTGGCCAGGTATATAATTTCCCTTTGAACTTACATGCTGCAAATGCTTTTATATTGTCAGGATATTCTGCTCTCCTCAGTACAACTTTTGCAGCCACAAATGCAGATGTTTAGGTTGCTTTTTCACTGTTCTTAGAGATAGTAAAGAAAATGTCACATTACTAGAAAACTGGGTGACATCTGGAAAAGTTAAGTATTATTAATTAACCTTGTAAGGGTAATGCAGAATTTTGTAACTGGCAAAGGAAAAAAGAGTAGAAACTGTAAAAGCAATATTGTCATCTTCTACCATCAACAGATGCCATCCTTTTACATTTGTAGAATAAAACAGGGCTTCTTGCCAGCTGCTTTGACCTGGAGATGAAAGACTGACGGTAACAGAGCTTGATGAGGTCTCACTAAGACAACACACCCATAAAAAGTACATAGTCTGAGTTGCATTCACACTTCAGATCTTGTGGAAATGGGCACGTTCCTATATGACTCTGAGGGATGATAGTCACCCAATGCCTAATAAGGAAGGGTTAATCCCACCTCATTTTGCCTACTTTGCATTCTGGTACTCTGATGTTGATAGCTCATCTTTGCAGAGTAATGACCATACTCTGTGAGGATACCCTGTGCTTAGACCCGTGAGTTGTACTATGATTCGGGTACAAGGCTGAGTTTAATTGGGTCGTCTATCTGTTGTGTTAAGTCTTCCAAATACCCTGGGCTGACCAACATGCAGAGAAGACAACATGGAGATGCCAATGCCCTCCTTTAGTACTTGCCCAGGTAGTGAGAGACCTGATTACAGTGCTCATCTCACCCTACAGAGATTCAAACTTCTCTCTCTTCCAAAAGAGTCCAGTCCTTACCCAACAAAGATCATATTTGTAAGGAAAAATCAGGGAGGAAAGAATAAGACTCTGTAGCCTCTTGGTTAAACTCTGGGAAGACAGGTACAGGACCTCTTCCACAGAAAGGCTGACACATTTCAGATTACATTGACACTTGATGGAAATAACACAGGGAACTGGCCTCCAGCTTGTTAGGATGAAGTCACCCAGCTGGCAGAAGCAGAGCTGTACAATTCCAGGGAAAAACCCCATGCCCTGCTTTCAGGGACAGACAAGACTAAGCATTATTTCGCCAAAAGGATGCAGCCCTTGGCATATGTGCTCCATATTCACTGAAGTACTACTTAAAGTTCTTTTTAAATGTAGCCATATGTGACTTCCTTAAGACTAGACCCCATGTCATGGCAAAATCAGGTCTCCAGACACCTGACTATTAGAACGTATAGACTCTTCTATGGTAACTTCTGGGGTTTTATGTCAGAGAAGCCTTGTGAAAACAGGGAGAACTGTATATTGTTCAGTTTTTCTCCAAATCTTAAGCCTGTATTAACCTCTTCCCCCCATTATTAATCAGCAAGGTCCTTGTTTGCCTCTCACTTGTCTTCTTTCAATTGCATTTCTCCAAAATAATCAATCTTAAGAGTGTCTGTCCAGAAAATGCAGATAATTTTCCCTTGCCGTGGAGATTGTTATACATGTTGGCTCTTTAGTTTAAAAAGAGGATGCTATCAAAATACAGGAAGCAAATACATTTCTTGGACAAAAAAAAGATCATTACTTTTGTCAGGTCTAAGGAGGGACTTGAGGCCTCATACTCAAGGAAGAAAGTAAGGCAGAATCATGACTCAGAGGCATTACACATTAACACAGTAGGCAATGAGTACTGGCAAGAAAGACCAGGACGAGATAACACAATAAAAGTGCATTTTTCATTGATTGGTTCTCTGTGCAATTTGAGAAAAAGAGCTGTTGCATTCTTGGATCACTACCTGACTAGGGAGCTTTTCTTTCTTGCAAGCAGTGGACAATTCTTCTCAGAGAGCTTAGCCGCCCATCAGAAAGTGAACAGAAAATGATTGATACTTTCCCTCTTGTCTTTGTGATTGACCCTTCTTACTTTGCCTGGAATACAGAGATGCCATATTCTGGTGAGGCAATAGGTAACTCAACTCTAGTCTTGCCAAGATATTGCTGATGTTGCTAGAACGTTGTACCTGTGTATCACCAAGGATTGCCCACCCTCAGTATCTGCCGGATGTTGGGATTGAAAACAGGACTTTTGTCTCCCATGTAGACTGTTAACACCTCCTGTGTCTGTTGCAAAGATCTGTGCTGCAGCAGCAGCATGGTGGAAGGTCTGGGGGCTGCCTTGGCATCTGTGCTGGCTGAAATTGGGAGCCACGTGTGCGGCAGAGGGAGGGATGTTGCTGCTGAGAGGGTCTAGGCTCCTTACCCCTTCCTTACCTTTCCTTTGCCTAAAATGATACCCTCATCTAAATTTACTGAATAAATAAATTAAATAAACTTATTGCCTAAAGTTATTAACTTGCCTTTTCATTTTTGAAAAAAAAAAAAAAAAAAGTAAAT